ATGTCATAAAACAATATGTGTACTACTGTTTCATGAGAAACTATTTGTTCTGTAAGCCTTCACCTGAAGTACAATAAAATATAAAAAAGAATAAAAAAAAGAGTGAATCTGCTTGGGACCTCCAGATTAGTCTAGTCACCAGCTGAATACCATAAAGGGATGTCAGCCAAGCCATGGTATTCTGAATATTCATCCATGGCCCTGAGTATTTGTCAGCTGAGTCCCATCAGGGTTCCTGACATATAATATTGTGAGATCTAATAAAATTCTTGTTGTTTGAAGCCAAAAAAACAAAAAAAACAAAAAACAAAATTAGGCAGTATTAGGTCTCAATTCTATTCTTTTTAAGAGTTGTTTTGGCTATTCTAGAACTTTTCATTTCCATATGAGTTTTAGAATTAGCTTGTTAACTTCTACAAAGAAGCATACTGGTATTTGATTGTGATTCCATTGAATCTATCGATCAATTTGGGGGAAATTGACATCTTAATAACATTGAGTCTTCCAACTGATGAACACAGTATATCTCTCCATTTATTTAGTTTGTATTTCTCTCAGCAATGTTTTCCAGCTTTCAGGATACAGGTCTTACATATCTTTTGTCAGATTTATTCTTAAGTATTTTTTTAATTGTGCTTTAGGTGAAAGTTTACAGTTCAACTTAGTTTCTCATACAAAAATTTATACATATATTGTTATGTGACCCTCGTTGCAATCCCTATGATATGACAGAACACTCCGCCTTTCCACCCTGGGTTTCCTTGTGTCCATTCAACCAGTCTCTGATTTATGTGGCCCTTTTGTCTCTTGGGCTAATATTTTCCATGTGTCTTTGGTGTTCTTCATTCTCCTTTACGCCAGGTGGGTTGGCACCAATTGATGCATCTTAGATGGCCGCTCGCTAGCTGTTAAGACCTGAGATGCCACTTACCAAAGTGGGATGCAGAACATTTTCTTAATAAACTGTTATGCCAATTGACCTAGATGTCCCCTGAAACCATGGACCCCAGACCCATGCCCCTGCTACTCTGTCCCTTGGAGTATTTGGTTGTGTTCAGGAAACTTCTTAGCTTTTGATTTAGTCCAGTTGTGCTGACTTTCCTTGTATTGTGTGTTGTCCTTCCCTTCACCTAAGATAATTCTTGTCTACTATCTAGTTAGTGAATTCCCCTCTCCCTCCTTCCCCACCCTTGTAACCATCAAAGAATGTTTTCTTCTGTGTTTAAACCTTTTCTTGAGTTCTCATAATAGTGGCCTTATACAATATTTGTCCTTTTGCGACTGACTAAATTCACTCAGCATAATGCCTTCCAGATTAATACATGTTGTGAGATGTTTCGAGGATTCATCATTGTTCTTTATCGTTGTGTAATATTCCATTGCGTAAATATACCATAATTTGTTCATCCATTTATCCGTTGATGGGCACCTAGGTTGTTTCCATCTTTTTGCTGTCGTGAACAGTGCTGCAATGAACATGGGTGTGCATATATCTATTTGTGTGACGGCTCTTATTTGTCTAGGATATATTCCAAGCAGTGGGATTGCTGGATCGTATGGTACTTGTACTTCTAGCTTTTTAAGGAAGCACCAAATTGATTTTCAAAGTGATTGTACCATTTTACATTCCCACCAGCACTGTGTAAGTGTTCCAGTCTCTCCACAACCTCTCCAACATTTATTATTTCATGTTTTTTGGATTAATGCTAGCCTTGTTGGGGTGAGATGGTATCTCACTGTAGTTTTGATTTGCATTTCTCTAATGGCTAATGATCCTGAGCATTTCCTCATGTATCTGTTAGCTGCATGAATGTCTTCTTTGGTGAAGTGCCTGTGCATATCCTTTGCCCATTTTTTAATTGGGTTATTTGTCTTTTTGTTGTTGAGGTTTTGCAGTATCTTGTGAACTTTAGAGATTAGACCCTGATCAGATATGCCATAGCCAAAAAAATTTTCCCAGTTTGTAGGCTGTGTTTTTACTCTTTTGGTGAAGTCTTTTGATAAGCATAAGTGTTTGATTTTTTAGGAGCTCTGAGTTATCTAGTTTCTCTTCTGGTGCTTGTGCATTGTTAGTTATGTTTTGTATTCTGCTTATGCCATGTATTAGGGCTCCTAGCGTTGTCCCTATTTTTTCTTCCATGATCCTTATCGTTTTCGATTTTGATATTTAGGTCTTTGATCCATTTTGAGTTAGTTTTTGTGCATGGTGTGAGGTGTGGGTCTTGTTTCATTTTTTTGCAGACGGATATCCAATTATGCCAGAACCATTTTAAGTATTTCATTTTTTGTAAGTGATAATATTTTTAAAATTTTAATTTCTGATGATTTATGGTTAGTATATAGAAATACAAGAGCCCTGGTGGCACAGTGGTTAAGCATTTGGCTGCTAACCGAAAGGCTGGCAGTTCAAATCCACCAGGAACTCTTTGGAAACCCTATGGGGCAATTCTCATCGGTCCTATAGGGTCGCTATGAGTCAGAATCGACTCAACAGTAATGTTGTTTTTTTTTTTTTTTTGTAGAAATACAGTTGCTTTTTATATGTCTTTTATCCTGCAACCTTGCTAAACTCACTTATTAGTGCTAGTAGCTTTTTTTGTAGATTCCATTGGATTTTCTATAAGAACATCATAACAATAATGTCATCTGTGAATAAAGACAGTAGGTTTTTTATAGACATCTTTTATCAGGTGAAGGAAGTTCTCTTCTATTCCTAGCTTGCTGAGTTTTTTTTATTTGTTTGTTTTAATCAAGAATAGAAGTTGGATTTTGTAAAATGCTTAATCTGCACCTGTAAAAATGGCGCGGTGGGGCATTGGATGTCTTCCTCTAACTTCAGGAGGGGGAGGAGAGAGAATCAAGATCAACAGCCAAAGGCTCATGGCTATAAGGTGGAGGTCAGACATACCTCCATCCTCCAAACTTTTTACCAATCCTGACACCAGCTGTCCCGCCCACGGTACTCTCTACTTCTCTGCTGGGTTTGTAAGTCATTGCAGTGGTCACACAGAACTCACAGACCATACTTAGAGTTATGAGGTTTATTCGTAAAGTTAACAGGTACAACTCGGGAACAGGATCAACAGGCTACAACTCAGGATCAGGATCAGAAAGCATATAGGCAAAGTCTAGAAGTCTCCCCCAATGTGGAGAACACATCCTTCTCTTCTTCAGAGCAGGACATCTCTCTCAGCTTCTCTTGGCCATGCAAACAAGCAGGCCCTTCTTTGCCATGCACACCCCGAGGACAGGCCTCCTCTCAGCCCCCTAAGGACAGGCTCTTCTCGGCCCCCTAAGGACAGACTTCTCTTGGACCTGGCCTCTGTCCTGCTTTGGCAAGTATCACAAAGCTCTTTAACTCCACCAATAAGTGCCCAGGGGCACCCCACTCCACCAGTAAGCATCAGCCTGAAGGCACTCAGCTCTCTTGCTCCAAAGGTCAGCAGTTTGCCAACAAGTGCCCAGAGTTACCCTACTCCGCCAGGAAGCCTCCTGCCCAAAGGCACTCAGCTGTCTCACTCTGTAGTTTGGCATACCCACTGTAACCATCTTGCTCTGTGGGCCTGGAAGCCCACTGTGCCATCCAGGGACGGATTACCCAATAAGCAAGGTATGCACAGGCTTACTTGTGTTTACTAACTAATCTGTAGAGCACAGTTTCAAAGACGTGGTGAAACCCATGTGAAATTGTGCACTACAGATTAGTAAGTAAACACAAGTAAGCAAATGTATACCTTGCTTACTGGTTAATTCACCCCTGCCGCCATCTTGTGATGGTCTCTTGGTTCTGGTGCCACCATTTCTCTGCTGCCATTTCTCACCATCTTGCACCATCTCCAGTGTTACTTCTCTCTCTCTGTCTCCTGGGTCTAGGAAGTTCTCAGTGCAGGAACCCTGGGTCCAAAGGATGCACTCTGCTCCCATCTCTTCTTGGTTATAGTGAGGCCCCCCTTTCTGCCTCTAGGATGGCTCATTTTAAGCCTAGCGGGATGTCAAAATTGACCAATTCCCTCATTAGGGTTCCATACACCTTATTGGCATGGCCCCACCCCAACAAGAGTACCGTGAACCTTATTTGTATTATTAGCAAGCTGTCCAATCCCCTTGGTGGGCCACAAGCACCTTATTTGCATAGTCCCACCCAATCTTTTAGAACATGGCTAGAAAGGCCATATAAAAGCAATCCATCACACCGCAGCATCCACTGAGATGACTATATGGTTTTTCTTTTATAATTTGTTAATGTTGTGAATTATATAGATTGATTTTCAAATGTAAAACCAATCTCCTACTCTTCAGATAAACCCCACTTGGTCATGATACACTATCCTTTTTATATACTGTTGGATTTGATTTGTTAATTTTTTTTTTTAGAATTTTTACATCTATGTTCACGAGAGATAAGTCTATAGTTTTCTTGTAATGTCTTTGTCTGCTTTTGGTAACAGCAATATTGGCCTCATAAAACGAGCTGTAAACTATTCCTTCTTCAATTTCCATTCATTTTTAATGCTTAATTATTTTCAGGACACACCGGTGGATCAAAAACTGCAGTTTGAAAAACTCTGCCCACGAGTAAATCTTGTTGACAATAAGATGTAAATGACAGGCATAACAGTAGGTAAGAAGGAAGCAGGCTTGTTAAATTCCTAAAAGGAAAAGGAGGCATTGGGAGGAAGAGAAAGGGAAACAGGTGAAGTGAGTTACTTGCCCCTTCTTTTGATGTCCTATCATTTTTCCTATCACACAAATCCCCCCTCTCTTTTTTTGTATATACAGTGTAATACCTAGAACAACTGCTAAAAAAGCTATACAAAGAGATACACTCAAAAATGCCATAGTTAAATTAGGAACTAACAAAGTTCCTTTTAAGTAGAGGCAGATTTGGCTAAGATAGGAGAGGGGCACTTCTCCCAGGTTTCCCCAAACACTGGTGGGTCAGACTTAGAAACAGAACGAGCTTATCTTCTGGTTCAAGTTTGGGGTGGTGGGAGAGACTGTGGTGGGATAAAAGCCACTTTTTGCTAATTCTTCACCATTTCCAGGTTCAGTATCCTGCTCACCAATAACTCTTCCCATAAACCTTTATATAAAGGAGGGCTAAGCAGAGGACCTTGTCTGCTGAGTTTATAAATGGAGCTGCCAAGACCCAGAACACATGGTATCCCACACTACAGGAGCTCCTTCCTGAGTGAAAAAGTCCTGAGAAAAGTTTGCAGCTCTTTACACGCACACACTTTCCAGTCGCTAGAATTCCCTCTCTGAAATAGCTGAGGGAGCCATCTGCTTTAAAAGTTTGGATTCCAGACTGTGGTCCTGAGTATTTAGCTAAAGAAGAAAGAGAGGATAGGGTTTTGTTTATTCTTTCATTCAACAAATATTTACTAAATACGAGCCATGTGTCAGATTCTGAATCCACCCATTGGTTGCCCTCAAGTTGACTCTGACTTATGGTGACCCCACGTGTGTCAGAGTATTAGTGGGCTCTATAGAGTTGTCAATGGCACAGTATCCACTAATGAACAGGGTATTCATAAAAATTCTGTGAAGTTTAAAATGTTCAAAGTTTCATTTAAACTTTAAGCAATCATATAATACAAATTAATCTTTCTGTAGTTACTCATGAAAGCCCTTTCCTGGATATTAGAATGAAGATGAGACCACGGAGCACGAAGCCACAGCCATCTCTCAGCCAACATGTTACACGAGTGAAAAATAAACTTTTGTTGTGTTGTAAGCCACTGAAATTTTAGAATTATCTGTTACCAGGACATAAACTAAGGAAAACTAACTTGTAATACAACAGCCACATTTTTCATCACGAAACTAGAGAAACAGAAAAGCCTGTCTCCATTAAGAATTCAGTCCTTGTGCAAATATCAGTGAAGGAAATTGAGATCTAATGAAATGAAAACCAGTTTTAAGAGCCATTGAGAGATAAAAGAGCGGTTAGTCTGGAAGGTTATAAGGAGGCAATACTTGAATCGCATCTACTACCATAGATCTCAAATGTTAGTATTTTTTTATATATGCCAAGTAAAGTAGAGAATGATAACATCTATGTAGAGCTTTACATTTTACAAGGCAGTTTTACAGATTAGAAAACTGAGGTCCAAGATGATAGAGTGGCAAAGTCTTGATTCCCAGGTTTTCCAATTCCACATTTTCTTGTTTCCCCTGTTGTTGGTAGGCGTCCTGGAGTCGGTTCCGACTCATAGCGACCCTATGTATAACAGAATGAAACACTGTCCTGTCCTGGGCCATCCTCACAATTATCGCTATAGGTAATGGAGCGTGAAGGGCTTTTTCGCTGACCCTCTACCTTTGAGCCCATTGTTGCAGTCACTGTGTTAACCCATCTCCTTGAGGTTCTTCCTCTTTTCTCGCTGACCCTCTACCAAGCATGGTGTCCTTCTCCAGGGACTGGTCCCTCTTACATCTTTCCCCTCATCACACTATCTGATGATTAATGCAAAACACTGTCTTAAGCAGGACAAAATTTGGAGTGGAAAGGACTCAACATTTAGAGCCTCACTGATCCTGACAAGCACAACCGCGCACCTATACAGTGCAACCGGAACCCATCACCATGTCACTCGCACCGTGCCCACTACCTAAGAGTCAATGACGGACAAAAGCTTACGTCAGCTGACCGCTCCCCCTCCCACTCTATATCCTCCACCGTTCCCGAAAGTCCAAGCGGCGAAGTTGAAAAATCTAACGAGGCGTGAACGTGATTGGGCTGCCCTCCATCACGTGACGACCACAAGGCGTGGGATTTGGCTCCGAGCAGGCGGAAGCGCCCCGAGAAGTGAGGGGGGGTGGGAGTGGTCACTATTAGGGTGAGGGGGGAACTAAAACCTTGGGGGAGGAGCTTGAGCGCCAGCTACTGCCCCAGTTCTTCCAGCAATTGGGGTCAAGTGTCTAGTTATTGTCGTTCCGCTGTACGTACGCGATCTTACTACAGAGACTCGTTTGCCTGGCAGCCAAAGCCGCACACGCGAGCGGCAGCAGGGAATGGAAGAGGAAAACGCGGGCAGGTAAGGTCGCGGCGGAGCACCGCCCCTCCCCCAGCGCTCCTCGCGGCGGGGCCGGCGGGCGGGCGGGCGCGCGCACGCACGCAGGGGTCTTAGACGCCCTATCCCGAGTACAAAGGCCAGCACCGCGCGTGCGCACTGTGGGCCCGCTCCAGCCCCCGCGGCCGCCGACTGTCGGGAGAGGATACCTCCTGCATGTGGGCAGTTTCTCATTTCCTCACGATAGCTGACTGGCATTAAAATGTGTTGGTGACCAACCAGCCGTCTCCAGAGAATATTGCTTTCCAGCCGCCATTCTTGGCTACAAGTTCCTTTACCCTCTATTACCTATGCAAAGAGCTGTAAAGATGGAGTATCACACGTATCCGGCTCTATGTCGAGGAAAACTCCAGGAGTTTTCATTTTAAAGTTAGTTGATTTACCGTGGCTTTCTCCCCAGAGATTTACTCAAAACAACATCAAGGGTCACGGGGTAAATAATAGTGCTATGCTGGAGCTTTTGAATTCTGGAAATACGTGTGACACTTGAAAGAAATCAATCCAAAAATGTCCTGAGTTTTACTGTGGGTTTGGGGACGATCTTAAGAATCTGTTTTTAATATGTCCTTTGGGGAGTATGAGGTACATGGAGAGAAGGTTTTGCCAAAGGAGAGATTTAGAGATTTGTACTCTTATTCGGAAAGCCAAATGAGAAATCATTAAATATGATGACAGTCTTAACAAATAAAAAAAAAAGATGATTTACATTGGAATAAAATAATGTTAGACCTAATGTAGGATTATTCTGACTCTCAGTGGCTAATGGACCCTGAGTTTAAGCAAGACACTTCTCTGGACCTGTTAATGTCTGTAAAATAAGGGCATTTCTGGAATCCAGTTCTGACATGCTGTGAATCAGTGTTAGGTTGAAGGTACGTACTGACTGTCAGTGAAGACTACAAAGGGCATACTAAGTACTGTAACCAGAATAAATTGTCTTAGAGTTTAAGAGAAGAGATATACAGAAATAAAGTATAGAGCAGCCCAATGTTATAGATCAAATTGCTGAATAAAGTACTCCAGTTCTTTCTCAGAAGACCTTTACAAATGAGAGAATTCACCAGAACTTGTGGAAATCTCTCTCACTTTCATGATCTTACTTCAGAGCAGAATTGAAATCTGGGTAAAGCCTACCATCAAAAGAATTATAACACTCACTGTAAGACCTTATTCAGTGTCCTATGCAGTAAAATAATAGGACTCTGGTACACTGTTCAGCTCAAAGCGTGACTTGAGTATTCTGTCTTAACTTCATCCACTGGGCTGTAAAACATTTTTTATTTTGGTCTGCAAAATTTTCACCTTCAGGAGATAGGGAGAATACTGTGTTACAAAGAATCTTTCATTGGGATTTCTGAGATGACTCAGGCCCCTTGTAATCCTGAGACAGTAGTTCCCTGTCACTCTCAAGTTTGTGATGATTAAGGGATGGAGCTGGATAGAATTAATTTACTTTTTATTTTGGAAAATTAATAGAAAAAAATTCCGTGGATTATAGACTAAAGAGCAAAAATAGTTCAAGAGTCACAAGAAGCACTTACAGTCTAACTAACCCAGAGAGGAAAAAGGCGGAATTATATAAGGAGATTAGTATGCTTCCAATGATCTCAAGCATGAAAAGGACATCTACCAAAGTTGGAAAGTAGTAGTATAACTGGAAGTGACATGGGTCACTGTCTTAGTTATCTAGTGCTGTTATAACAAATACCAGAAGTGGATGGCTTTAGCAAACAGACGGTTATTCTCTCACTAGTCTAGTAGGCTCGAAGTCCGAATTTCAGGGCGCCAGCTCCAGGGGAGGGCTTCCTCTCTGTGTTGACTCTGGAGGAAGGGAAGGTCCTTGTCATCAATCTTCCCATGGTGTAGGAGCTTTTCAGCCCAGGGACCCCTGGTCCAAAAGATGCACTCTGCTCCTGGCACTACATTCTTGGTGGTATGAGGTCCGCCTGTCTTTCTCATCGCTTCTCTTATATCTCAAAAGAGATTGAATTAGGACAAAACCTAATCTTGTAGATTTAGTCCTGCCTCATTAAGATAACTGCTTCTAATCCTACCTTATTAACATCATAGAGGTAGGATTTACAACACATAGCAAAATCACATCAGATGACAAAATGGTGGACAGTCACACAATACTGGGAATCATGGTCTAGCCAAGATGATGTATTTTTGAGGGACACAATTCAATCCATGACAACCACTAAGAATACAGATTAATCTTCAAATGAGACCAGGCTTTCTAGAAATGTTAAAGATAACTGGGACGACTTATAAAGTTAGGCTTGGACGTGAGAAGGGTGAGAAAGGTTTGGGTTTTGTGCACAGTACAATGTCATAGAGTTAGCAGATGACAGAAAACATACTCGGTTCTGATTTTGATTTTTCATCACCTATAAAAATGAAACACCATCTCTGCCATAGAGTGTGGTTATGAGCAACCTTGATAACCACAACTATCGTTTCTGGAGCATTTCATGCTGGACACTTACATCTTGTTATTTCATCATAAGGAGCCTTGATGGTGCAGTGGCTGAGTGCTTGGCTGCTAACTGAAAGGCTGACAGTTCGAACCCACCCAGCGGCTCCAAAGGAGAAAGACCTGGCAATCTGTTTCTGTAAAGATTACAGCTTAGGAAGCCCTATGGAGCAATTCTCCTCTGTTGTATGGGGTTGCTATGAGTCAAAATCGACTCGATGACGCCGAACAACAACATAATAAGGAAAATGTCAGACTGGAAACGGCAGAATGAATGTCTGTAAGCGTTTCAAAGCTTAAGATCAATAAGGGCATTTAAAAGAGCTTTTAGCTGCTTTAGCTGAAATCATATTTCCTGGCCTGAATGAGTTGTATTTCAGATGAGAGGCCAGATTACAGCAATCTTTGAGGACTTGTAGACAACAGGTGAGGGAAAATGAAGCCTGAGTATAAACACATGGGTCCCTATTTACTTAAAAGGTGGAGTGTGTGCTCTAATTTATTGACATTGATCCTTAACAAAATGCTTGAGTTTTACTTACCAATGGTTATGGAGCATATTAAAAAGGAACTAGTGACCACTAAGCTACAGTGTAAATTGAAAAAACAGGAGGACCTACCAGACCAGGTTCATTCCCTTTTAGACTAGACTAGACTTGGATCCACAATCAGTGCCCCTGGAAGTAGCAGTTAAGAAATCAAATGACACATGCGCTGGGCAAATCTGCTGCAAAAGACCTATTTAAAATGTTAAAAAGCAAAGATGTCACTTTAAGGACCAAGAGATGCCTGACCCAAGCCATGGTATTTTTGATTGCCTCGTGTGCATGCAAAAGCTGGGCAATAAATAAGGAAAACCAAAGAAGCATTGATGCCTTTGAGTTACGGTGTTGGTGAAGAATACTGAATATACCATGGACTGCCAGAAGAACAAACAAACAAATCTGTCTTGGAAGAAGTACAGCGAGAATGCTCCTCAGAAGCGAGGATGGCAAGACTTCATCTCACGTACTTTAGATATGTTATCAGGAGGGACCAGTCCTTGGAGAAGGACATCATGCTTGGTAAAGTAGAGGGTAAGTGAAAAACAGGAAGACCCTCAATGAGATGGATTGACACAGTGGCTGCAACAATGGGCTCAAGCATAGCAATGATTGTGAGGATGGTGCAGGACCAGGCTGTGTTTCATTCTGTTGTACATAGGGTCACCATGAGTTAGAACCAACTGGACGACACCTAACAAGCAAAACAGACTAGACAGAATCTGTGATAGAAGGTACCTACAATCTTTGATTATCTCATGCTATCTTTAATTATTAATCATTATTCTAGCAAATTTATTGTATGTAAGGCACTGTTTTAAGTGTTTTATATGTGTTAAGTAATTTAATCCTCATAACCAATGAGATAGGTGCTGTTATTCCCACTTCACAAATGTAGAAGCTGGGCATAAAGAGGTTGAGGAACTTGCCCACACAGCTAGGAAGAGGCAGAAATAGAATCTGAACCCAGGTGATGTGGCTACAAATTCTGCCTCCCTAGCTAACAACTAACTGTATTATACTGCTTATCTTTGTGGGCAAGATGGAGAAGGGCTGTTGGCAGTCCGGTTAGGTGAAATCCAAACTGGTTTAATACTGAAAGAATCAAGGGCAGTTCGAAGAGAGGCCTATACTCATGTGCCATGTAGCTCTATTCCCAACTTTGTTGTTTCCAACAGTTTAACAACATCAAGATGTTGATGGCATGCTGAGGAAATTTGTGAGTGACCCAACTCTGGGAGGGGTTTGTGGAATTGATAGACTGATTCAGAATCCAGGCAAATCCCAACTGACTGGAATGGTGAATCATCTTTTACAAAAAGAGGCACAGTCTTTTACTCAGGTGAAGAAAATTAAGGATATACGTGGGATGAGGGAGACATGATAGAAGGGCAGTTTTTTGTTGATGGCAAACTCAGTCTGAATCAGTAGTATAATGTGGGTGCCCATAAAGCTAATGTAATAGGTTCCATAGTATGGTCTCCAAAATGAGGACATTTATAGCCCTGTTTGTCTTCAGACTGATGAGGCTCTAACTGGAGCATTTTGTTTGATTCTGAGCACCAAAAAACGACCAAATAATGAGGAAACTTGAAATCATACTATATGAGGAATAGTTAAACCAACTGGGGACTCTACCGTATTCTAAATTTCTGTGTTCACAGTTTCTAGTAGACTGCTTGTGCACAATAAGTACCCACCAGTATTTGGTGAGTACACACACTTCCTCATAAAAATATCAAATGCAGTCTTTTAATAGTTTATATAAATAGTCCCCTTTAGTTGAGCATTTGGATTATTTACAATTGATCATTAGTTTGTATGCATTCACTGTATATGCTTGTTTAAGTGGAGATAAATGTAGTTAGAAACTAGGAACTTAAAATAGTGGAAAATAACTGAGTATTAAGTAGAGGGTCAGCGAAAAAGAGGAAGACCCTCAACAAGATGGATTGACACAGTGGCTGCAACAGTGGGCTCAAGCATAACAAGAATTGTGAGGATGGTGAAGGACCGGGCAATGTTTCGTTCTGTTGTACATGGAGTTGCTATGGGTCAGAATCAGCTCGATAGCACCTAACAACAACAAAGAAGTTGCAGCTGTTAATTTTAGAGAAACCTTGAATATTTAGTTTTTTGAAATACAGCAAAATCTGAATTCACTCACTCAACTGTGTGTGTGTATGTGTGTTTTGAGAAAGACTGTTGGAAAATTCACAGTTTCATCAATCTCAGACCGCAGTTAGAACCAATCTCACAAGCACTGTGATTCAAGAGAAGGGGGGGTGCAAACAAAGGAGACAGGAAGGGGTGACCAGCAGGAAAAGGACAGAGGTAGCACAGTTGGGACAAACAAATGATGAGGGAAAAAAGTGAACAGGGGGAAATAAAAGCATTCATCGTGCTTACGATCTTGATGTCAAGGAGTTATATTTTTAAAAACTGTCATCTGTCCTGAATCTGAACAGATTTAGCCTTGTTTCCTGCACATTTTCCATATACAAAGAACCAGAAATCACTTTACCCAACCACTAATTTTCCTTGTGAGGTCTGGAGCACTATGATTCAAAGGGGGAAAAAAAAAAGCAGTTGCCTTTAGGAGCTGGTTGAATGGACATGGGAAATCCAGGGTGGAAAGGAGGAGTGTGCTGTCACAGTATGGGAAGTGCAACTAGGGTTACACGGCAGTGTGTGTATAAAGTTCTGTATGAGAAACTGACTTGAACTGCCTTCAACTCATGGCAGCCTCGTGTGAGAGTGGAACTGTGCTCCATAGGGTTTTCAAGGGCTTAATTTTTTGGAAGTAGATCGCCAGGCCTTTCTTCCAGGTTACCTCTGAGTGGTCTTGAACCTCTAACCTTTCACTTAGCAGCTGAGCACGTTACTTGTTTGCACCACCCAGGGAATGGGGGTGCAAATGGAAGCCTACAGAGGGTGAATGACTTGGCTAAGGTGAGCCAGCCGTTTGGTGTCTGAACTCGGATTGGATCCAGATCTCCTGACTCCCAGTCCAATGTTCTGCTGTCAGTGTCCCTCTCATTCAGAGGTATTGTTCAGAAACGTTGCAGAATTCTGAAATATAAACCAGAGACTCCATCAACCTGAGACCAGAAGAACTAGATGGTGCCCAGCTACCACCAGTGACCGCCCTGACAGGAAGCATAACAGAGAGTCCGTGATGGAGCAGGAGAAGAGTGGGGTGCAGAACTCAAATTCTAGTAAAAAGACGAGACTTAATGGTCTGAGTGAGACTGGAGGAACCCTGGGGACATGGCCCCCGGACTCTCTGTTAGCCCAAAACTAAAACCATTCTCGAAGCCAACTCTTCAGATAAAGACTGGACTGTAAGACATAAAATGACACTCGTGAAGAGTGTGCATCTTAGCTCAAGTAGATACATGGGCAGCTCCTGTCCAGAGGTGAGATGAGAAGGCAGAAAGGGACAGGAGCTGGTTGAATGGACATGGGAAATCCAGGGTGGAAAGGAGGAGTGTGCTGTCACAGTATGGGAAGTGCAACTAGGGTTACACAGCAGTGTGTGTATAAAGTTCTGTATGAGAAACTGACTTGAACTGTAAACTTTCATTTAAAGCACAATTAAAAAAAAAAAAAAGAAATAGCTTCACAATAAGATTAAAATAGGTTTATGCTGCTTACAAATTTAACCATTGTTAGATGATAGAAAGTTAAAGTTCATGAACATTTTTTGTGGAAACGTAATACTTTTTTCTGCCAAATATTTTTGTTCTGGCTGTTAGGAAGCTTTTAAGTAGCTGAGGCCAAATTTAATGTTCAAAGATAGTACATTACCTCAGAACTAACACTTGTTAGTTTCCATTACTTTATTTTTCTATTTTTGCCCTTGTTTAACTTAATATAAACTGCCACCGATCTTTTTTAGAAAGAGTAAGGGATATATCAATATTTTAGTCAAGTTTCTGAATTTTTTTCAAAAATTGATATGTATCTCTAATAATATAAAACTTCAGGTGCTTTTTCCTTCTTATTTTTCACTTGTTCTTCAGCTGACTGATTCCTAAATTTAAGTTTTCCGATTTGGAGCCCCAAAATTTCTGACCACTAAAGATACTGAGGGAGCCACATTTTGGGAATTTATTTTGTAAAGTGAAGAATTGTTTGTTTTGTAGTATGAATGGTGCCTCCCTAACTTATACATTTTATGTTTGGATTTTTGTAACATGCTCAAAAATGGGACATATCTGTAAAAGTCTGAGAGGTAGCAAGAAACACAGGGTTGCCTTCCTGATGCTGTGACAGATTAGGAAGCAACCATTATGTCTTTATTTATTTATTATTACTTAAGTTACTTACTGCTACTCATTTATTGTTACCATGTGTCTTTAAATGTTTATAGTCAAGCTTAAAGAGGATATAGCATCTCTGGAAACTGCCACAGCCACAATCACAAGTTGCAGTTTGCTTGACTAGAATTTCCACAGGGTGGCCACTCAAGATCCCTCTGTGTAACCCAGCCATATCCAACTTCTCACTAGAATTTTTAAATCATAAATGCTGGACAACCAGCATTTTAACGATTTATTGAAAAGAGCTATTAATGGTATGGTATTTATATAATTTGAGAACAGTATACTTAAGGAAATAAAACTCTTAAGATATCGTTTAATATCTTTCTCCCAATTCTCAACGTTTTCTTAGCTAGCTTAGCTTAATAATATCTTGAAGTCAGAATGCCTCTCCAATGGTCTGTTGATTGGGATGGGGCCCCTGCATATCCTGGAGCATCACCAGCATACACCGTGTAGTGTGTTACCCTGTGTGTCTGCCTAGGCCAGTTAAGCTTTTCCAGGAGACGCTTTAGTTTGCCTTTTTCAAAAACAGTTTCATTGAGATATGGTTTACACCCCATAACGTTTGCCCATTTAAAGTGTGCTAGTTGACTTTGTAATCTCTGCTTTCCAAGTCCCTTGTTTTCTCCACATGTCACGTAGGAAAAAAACTGATAAGTAGCTAATCTTGCCACAGAAAACATGACATTTCTCTTCAAATGGTAGATGGTACTTTCCCATTTTATTTCCCAGTGTTTTTCTTTCTACTGTATATTTAATGGCATCATTTGGCATTAGCTGTAACTTAAGTTTCATAAAGTAAGTGCATACTTTCCTAACTTGTACTAATAGCAATGGTCTGAGAAAGTGGTTTATGGTCATCAGAAACGTATTTTTGAAATTGTCTTCTTTGAAGGCCTGTGTTCCTTACACTGAGTGGACTACTTTGAACAAAGTTTAAATCATGTTCAAAAGAAAATTTTAGAGTGGTTTCTTCATAAATTCAACAGATATTTACAAAATAACAATTTCTAGCCCTCACTTAGTGGCAAAAACAAAAAAAGCAAAAATAAAGCCAATAAGTAAACAGGCAAATAAACGTAAAGAGAACCTTAAGTTAGATTGGAGGGCCTCTTTGGGACAAGATGATTAAATACTGAAGGTAGGGACGAAAATTTATTTGTGGATATTTTAGCCCAGTGTAGACTGACTGGCAGGCCTTTCAAGTCTCTCTACTTGGAAATTCCCATGATCTCATTTCAAAGAAAGTACAGGATGACTTGACAGGTCTTGTAAGTTTTACTGATGACACATCTTGTCATTAGACAGTGTGAGAGTTAATGTTTGGCTAGTAGGTACTGAGTAAAGATTGGGTGAATGTATAAATACAAGAATAGATCTTCCTTCTTTCTCTTCAACCCTTTTATCTGCTCTAATAACTATTACAGTCTGGTTACAAAATATTGGATCCTGAAGGATATTTACAGCTGATCGTTTAAGCTTACGTTTGAGTACATTTTATTGTCATTATATCTTATACTGAATCATTCTTTTTCAGCTATTCCCTTCCGCAAGCTCAAGCTTTTTATACATTCCCATTTCAACAAATGCTGGCTGAAGCTCCTAATATGGAAACCATGAACGAACAGCAAGTGCCAGCAGAAGTTTCAGTTCCAGCTCCTGCTCAGGAGCTCGTACAAGGTAGTTTTCACAGTAATAGTTTAGAAAATTAGCTGTTGGATTAGCCACTTTAAGAAAGGGTTTAATGCTGAATTTTAGAGTTAAAAAATGTAATCCATTTGTAGGACAAACCTTTGTTCAAATCCTGGCCGTCTTTTGTCAGCTGTTTGATCTTGGGCAAGTTACTCAGCCTCTCTGAACTTAAGTTTCTTCACCCTGCCACTGGTTCCAAAGCATCATTGTCTCTCACCTGAATTATTGCAGTAGCTTCTGAACTGTTCTCCCTGCTTCCACCCTGCCCCGAGCCTGTTCTCACAGCAGCTGGAGTGACCCTGTTAATACGTGAGTCAAATCACGTCACTTCTCTGTCCACAACCCTTTAGTGGCTTTCCATCACATGAAGAGAAAAGCCAGAGTTGGTACAGTAACCTATAAACCCTACACCCCTGGCCCTTTCTTTCTGACTTCATCTCCTACCGCTCACCAGCCGGCTGGCTCTGCTCAGCCATACTGGCTGCCTACTGTTCCTCAAGCATGTCAGGCATGCTGTCACCTTAGGACCCTTACTGGCTACTGCCTCTCAGGACCATTCTTTCCTCTGATAGCCACATGGCTGTAACTCCTTATCTCCTTCCAGACTTGCTCAGATGGTGCCTTCTCAGTGAGGCCTACCTTGACCGTCTCATTTAATATTGTCACAATTCCCGAAACCCCAGCACTCATGAAACACCTTGCCCTTGTGTAGCTTTTTCTAGCATTTGTCACTTCCTAACATGTTATATCTCCCCTCTTCTATCGTAAACACTAAAACACTCAACTACTACTGAAAGGTTGGCAGTTTGAACCCATCCAGGGGTGCCTTGGGAGATAGGCCTAGCGATCTGTTTCCAAAAGGTCACAATGTTGAAAACCCTATGGAACACGGTTCTGCTCTGACACGTATGAGGTCACTGTGAGTTGGAATCAACTCAACAGCAACTAACAATGACAGCAATGTGTTAAGTGATTTACCTATTGATTATGTTTGTTGTCTGTTTTTTCCCACTAGAGGGTTAAGCTTCAACACATCTCCAGCACTGCCGGTGGTGCCTAGCATATAGTGGGCATTCAGTAATGAATAAGTAAATGACTGTAACACATCACAGAATTAGTTAAATAAGAGAATTCATCTAAAAGTGTTGGGTGCATAGTAGGCACTGAAATATTAATTAACTTATCATCCTGTGGATTGTGTATGGGAAATTATGTATTTTCAAAATTTAGATACATTTTCTCCTAGAAACAATGTTCCCCATGACTGAGGGGCCTCCAGGCAAGTTGGTAAAAGCCCATTTAATCTTGTAAAGTCCCTAAAACAAAGCACTGTTCTAATCCAGAAAACTTAAAAATTCCTTTATTTTACAGGCACTTTTTAAGTACTTAGTACGTGCCAGGTACCGTGTGATACACTCTGGGGAGTAAAAGAACATGGACCTTGCCCTCAAATATCTCATAATCTAGTCGAGTTAAAAAAAAGCAAAAGAAAAGAAGCCCACATTGTGCCTCGGCATGCCAAGTGATGAAGGGGGCTCTGGATGCTAGATGCTTTGGGAGCTCATAGGGGTGGCGCCTAACACAGGCTGACGACTAAGGCAGCTTCCCAGAGCAGAGAGATGACACCGGGGCTCTGAAACATCAAAGGCAAGGAGATTTTATCCCCAAGAAGAAGGGGCTAGGGAAGATTCCAGACCAAGGAGCAGGATGTGCTGAGTTACAGATGTGAAGCATGACACAGCCAAACATCTGAGGATGAGTCTGTATGGTTGGAGTCGGGGGTGTAGCAAGGAAATGGTGAAAGGTGAGGCTGGATGGGGCAGGTTTGGTTTGTATTTTATCCTAAGGGGTTTATAGTCTAACCTGAAGGCAGTCTAACCTGAAGGCAATCGGGAACTGTTGAGAGAGTGTAAGCAGAGGAATGACTTAAATAGGTTGATGTTTTAAAAAGGTCATTCTGGAAATAGAAGATAGACTGGGTAGTAGAGAGCCAGGTAGAGCTTGTAGGCAAGGAATGAATTAGAGACTGTTTGAATAATCTAGGCAGGAAATGAGGAGGACCTGAATCATAGCAGAAGGCATGAAGAAGGACAGACTTAGGAAAGACTCAGGAGGCAGAATCACCTGGGCATAGTTAATGGATTTCATGTGGGGAGGGCAAGGGAGAAAGAAGAGTCTGGAAGTGACTCCCAGGTTTCTGGCATGAGTGGTTGGATGAAGGAGGTGTCATTCACCAGGATAGGAAGTTAGGAGGAAGAACAGATTTTGGAAGGAAGAGCAGCTTGAAATGATACGTCATTACCTACCTAGTAGGTAGAGAGAAGGTAAGAGTAGAAAGAAGGTGATGATTTCACCAGTATAGCAGTATTTGTATGAGAAATGTGCTCAAAGTTTTGGTTTATAGTTTTGGGGGGACTGTAGTCTAATGCCATTGTATTAAAACTACCTCCTGCCCTTGCTTCTCCTATTTTTCTGGGCAGGGAGCACTAGAATTTCCCCAGCTACAAGCCAGTAGTGGTAGCCCCCTTGGCTCTTACCAGAAAACCAAAACCCAACCCATTGCCTTTGATCCGATTCTGACTCATAGCGACCCTGCAGGACAGAGTAGAACTGCCTGTTAGAGTTTCCACTGCTGAAATCTTTACAGAGGCCGACCGCTACATCTTTCTCCCGCAGAATTGCTGGTGGGTTTGAACTGCTGACCTTTTGGTTATAGCCGAGTGCTTAACCACTGCACTACCAGGGCTCCTTAGCCCTTAAGGCGATGGTAAATCAGCATGAGGCAGAAGGGAGGAACCTTGTTCTTGGGAGGCTCAGATGGGAAAACACCAAACAGCAGTAGGATGGGGTAGGAGGCTGAGAAATTAGGAAAGATGCTGAAGAATTAAGGATAAGAAAACCAAGCCCTCCTGATAGGTAACTTTAGGTCACTGGTTCTCAGCCAGAGGTGATTTTGCTCCCCAAGGGACATATGACATTGTCTGGAGGCATTTTTGATTATCATGCCTGGCAGGCTGCTACTGGCATCTATCTAGCGGGTAGTGGCCAGGCACGCTGTTAAACATCCTACAGTGTACAAGCCAAAATGTCGATAGTGCTGCTGAGGTTGAGAAGCTCTGCTTTAGGTCCTGAGATAAGATGCCTAGTCTTGCTTTTTGAAAAATACTGCTGCTCTAAGATTTCATTCTCAGCAGTTTCTAAGTTCACCTGTTCAGCCACGTGTGGAACAGAATATGCACCCATAATCTCTTAAACAAGTACACAAGCCATTTTAGGTTTTCTACTGCTGGACATTATAGGAAAACTGAATTAAAAGGTTTCCCTTCCTTCCAATTTTTCTATCTACCTATTTCATTTGTTTACTTATCAATTTATATATTTACATTGAGAATTTCTATGAAATGGTACATGGATGTTTTGTGTCTCTGGGGAGGCCAGGATGCCAAATAAGATTGTGTGGAAAATCAAGTCTATGGTTATTATGGGCATTCCTTCCCAAGAGCAGCTAGCAGGGAAGGAGGGTGGGAGGTGGGGGTACATGAATTTACTCTGGGGTGGTGGTGGTGGTGTTTGCCATTGAGGCGATCCCGTGTAGAGAAGAACTGTTCCATGGGGTTTTCAAGGCTGTGACCTTTCAGAAGCAGATTGCCAGGCCTATCTTCCAAGGCACCTCTGGGTGGGTTCAAATCACCAACCTTTCAGCTAGTAGTTGAACACTTAACTGTTTGCATCACCAGGGACCCATTCTGGGATGAAGGAAGGGGAAAATATTACAGAGGAGACTGATGTTGGAAATTAGAAGAGCATAGTTTGGGGAGAGGGAAAAAGTGTTGATAGGGTGATTTTTCTAGGAAAGCTGCCTAAAGTTGTAAGTTACGATTTCCCGAATCTACATACTGAAAAATCATGTTTCAGAGGCTCCTAAAGGAAGAAAAAGAAAACCTAGAACAACAGAACCAAAAAAGCCAATGGAACCCAAAAAACCTGCCACACCAAAAAAACCTGGCAAGTCCACAAAATCAAAAGAAAAACAAGAAAAAATTACAGATACATTTAAAGTGAAAAGAAAAGTAGACCGTTTTAATGGTGTTTCAGAAGCTGAACTTTTAACCAAGACTCTCCCTGATATTTTGACCTTCAATCTGGATATTGTGATTGTAAGTATGTTTTGTTCTCATTTTATTTTATAAATAGCATAGGTGGATTATCTTTACTTAGCAGTTATCTTGCAAATAGCATTTTGCTGAAAAGGAACCATTTCTAAGAATCTCTTTGTGGTAAATGCTGTCACTTTCATGAAGTTGTGTTATGTGGGAGTATTTAAGAGGGTGGGGTCCAGAGTTGGGCTGTTTGGGTTCAAATCCTGCCAAGTGGTTTGACCTTGGACAAGCATTACCCTTTCTAAACACCAATTTCCTTGTTGGTAAAATGGGTGATTATAGTACCTCCCTCATAGGGTTGCAAAGATTAAGTGAAATAACCCATGTGAATTTAGAGTGCATGACCACTGTGAGGACTCAGTAGAGGAGAGCACTTATTATGAACTTTGGCTTTTATCAGTAACTGTCAGAAACATCAGCATGGGACAGCTGTGAAGCTTGTGTGGCGTAAGCTGCTTGTTGGGAGTCGAGAACCAGCCTTGTGGCTGCACATGGGCTCAGAGGTTGATTGTCCCAGTATCTCTCTCTTTCCAGACTGAAGGCAGCCCAGTTGGGTGGGGATGGAGGACCTGGGGATATGAGGTAGTCAGACTGGTTTTTAAAAACAATAGCTTCCCTCAAAGTAGAATACTTTGCTTGGCAATTAATTCAACAGTACTGATTATGATGCTGAATTAAATTTGTATTTTAATAAATTCAGTTTTGTTTACTCCTCCCCCATAAAAATCCTAAGACTGTAAAATTTTTGAAGACTGAAATGTATAAATATTTTGCTGTGTAGATTGGCATAAACCCAGGACTAATGGCTGCTTACAAAGGGCATCATTACCCTGGACCTGGAAACCATTTTTGTAAGTGATTGCTTTTTTTAACTACCTTACTTTTAAACTACATTTTCTTTCTTTATAGTTGTTTTTGTTTTTTTGCTCTTTTTTTTAACCAAGTTGTGTTTAGAAAAAAAGAGATTGTGTGTGTAAATATGTTGTCTTGTTTTCTATGTTTGAGTGTGTGTGTATACACATAAAAGGGTTCGAAATGATATATTGCTGTTAACATTTTGGCGTAAGAGTGGAGAGGCATGAGAAGTAGTGATTTCTGTTTAAACTGTTTTCAGTGAGTTTTACTGCTTTTGACTTTTTTTTTTAATGATTTAAAAAATTGTTACCTATAAACATGGTAACTGTAGTACATCTTTGTGGCAGTATAGACAAAATAACTGCCCTTTCCAGATATCTACTGGCCTTATTTTCTAGGAAAGAAACGTACTGATCCTTGGCAGTCAGGTTGTAATAGTTACAATTGCTGTGACTGGAGATATTCTCTACTTACACTAGCAGAAAATAGTATTAACCCAAAAAAACCCCAATGCCATCCCCTATAACTATTACCAAAAACCAGACCCTTGCCATCAAGTCAACTCTGACTCATAGCGACCCTATAGGGCAGAGCTGAACAGAGTTGAACCGCTTGTAGGGTTTCCAAGGAGCAGCTGGTGGATTTGAACTGCCGACCTTTTGGTAAGCAGCCATAGCTCTTAACCACTGTGCCACCAGGGCTCCATAACTATTACAGTAACCTTTACAACCAAGTATAACTACTGTAGTATTATCCTGAATATAAGTTGTGTTACGTGCCAGTGCCTAGTAGAACAAGGAGCATGTGATAGGCCTTCAGGAAATACTAGTTGATTAGCTAAAGCCAAAAAAAAAAAACCAAATCCATTGCCGTCAAGTCAATTCTAGCTCATTAACGAAGAGTAACATTAAAAACATTTAGGGCAAATGATTTAAAAAAACATGTTGCTGTCGAGTCAATTCTGACTTATAGCAACCCTATAGGACAGGGTAGAACTGCCCCATAGGGCTTCCGAGGAGCAGCTGGTGGATTTGAACTGCTGGCCTTTTGGTTAGCAGCTGAGTTCTTAACCACTACACCACTGGGGCTCCAAGTGATAGTATGCATTTTTAGAACTAACTAGGGAAATTTGAACTTACTTCCTCTACTTTCAAGGTGTTTTAAGTGTTTCTGTCCGTGGGTTGGTTTATCTTTGAAAGGAAAATAAATAGTTTCAAAGTTCCCTACACTGACCAGCTGTATATTCTTGAACAGGTGTTTGTTTACCATACTTACTTGTGAAAAGTAGTCTCTATATCTCCTAAAATAGTTGTGATGATTAAATGAGATAATCTATGTAAAGGGCTTAGCATAGTTGTTGTTACGTGCCGTCAAGTTGATTCCAACTCATAGCGACCCTGTGTACAACAGAATGAACCACTGCCCAGTCCTGCACCATCCACACAATTGTTATGCTTGAGCCCGTTGTTGTGGCCATCGTGTCATTTCATCTCGTTGAGGGTCTTTCTCTTTTTAGCTGACCGTCTACTTTACGAAGCATGATGTCCTTTTCCAGGGACTGATCTTCCTAATAACATGTCCAAAGTATGTGAGACAAAGTCTCACCATCCTTGCTTCTAAGGAGCATTCTGGCTATACGTCTTCCGAGACAGATTTGTTCGTTCTTTTGGCAGTCCATGGTATATTGAGTATCTTCGCCAACAGCATAATTCAAAGGCATGTATTCTTCTTCCCCAGTTAAAAAATGGGCAAAGGATATGAACAGGCACTTCTCCAAAGAAGATATTCAGGTGGCTAACAGACACGTGAAGAAATGCTCACTATCATTAGCCATTAGAGAAATGCATATCGAAACTACAATGAGATATCATCTCACCCCAACAAGGCTAGCATTCATCCAAAAAACACAAAATAATAAATGCTGGAGAGGTTGTGGAGAGACTGGAACACTTATACACTGTTGGTGGGAATGTAAAACGGTACAACCACTTTGGAAATCCATTTAGCACTTCCGTAAAAAGCTAGAAATAGAAGTAACAAACGATCCAGCTATACCACTCCTTGGAATATATCCTAGAGAAATAAGAGCCATCACATGAATAGATATATGCACACCCATGTTCATTACGGCACTGTTCACGGTAGCAAAAAATGGAAACAGCCTAGGTGCCCATCAGCGGACGAATGGATAAACAAATTATGGTATATCCACACAATGGAATACTACACAATGATGAAGTACAACGATGAAGCCATGAAACATAACATGGAAGAAGCTGGAGGTCATTATGCTGAGTGAATTTAGTCAGTCACAGAAGGACAATATTGTATAAGACCACTATTATGAGAACTTAAGAAAAGGTTTAAACACAGAAGAAAACATTCTTTGATGGTTATGAGGGTGGGGAAGGAGGAGGAGGGTTATTTACTAACTAGATAGTAGATAAGAATTATCTTAGGTGAAGGGAAGGACAGCACACATTACAGGGGAAGTTAGCACAACTGGACTAAACCAAAGCTAAGAAGTTTCCTGAATACAGTGAAACACTTTGAGGGACAGAGTAGCAGGGGTAGGGGTCTGGGGACCATGCTTTCAGGGGACATCTAGGTCAACTGGCATAACAAAGCTTATTAAGAAAATGTTCTGCATCCTACTTTGGTGAGTGGCATCTGGGGTCTTAAAAGCTTGCTAGTGGCCATCTAAGATGCATCAATTGGTCCCAACCACTTGGAGTAAAGGAGAATGAAGAACACCCAAGACACAAGGAAGGTATTAGCCCAAGAGACGGAAAGGGCCACATAAACCAGAGACTTCATCAGCCTGAGACCAGAAGAACCAGAAGGTGCCCAGCTACCACCAATGACCATCCTGACAGGGAACACAACAGAGAGCCCCGGTTGGAGCAGGAGAAAGGTGGGGTGCAGAACTCCAATTCCAGTAAGAAGACCAGACTTAATGGTCTGACTGAGACTGGAGGAACCGCAGAGAGCATGGCCCCTGATTCTCTTATCAGCCCAGAACTAAAACAATATCTGAGGCCAACTCTTCAGACAGGGATTGGACTGGACTGTGGGACATAAAGTGATACTCATGAGTAGTGTGCCTCTTAGCTCAAGTAGATACAAGAGACTAAACGGGCACCTTCTGTCCAGAGGTGAGATGGGAAGGCGGAGGGGGTTAGGAGCCGGTTAAATGGACGTGGGGAATCGGGTGGAAAGGAGGAGTGTGCTGTCACAGTATGGGGAGAGCAATTATGGTCACATAACAATGTATGTACAAATTTTTGTATGGGAAAAATAAAAATAAAAGTCATCTGCGGTTTTATTCATTGTCCAGCTTTTGAACGCATATGAGGCGGTTGAAAACACCATGGCTTGGGTCAGGCGCACCTTAGTTTTCAAGGTGACATCTTTGCTTTTTAACACTCTTGGCATAGTACCCAGCACACATTAATCGCTCAGTATAGTATTTGGTCTATGTTTCCAGTTTAAAAATGTCCTAGAGTTTGAATATAGACTGCTACAGTACATCACTTCACTGGGGAAAAACCTCTGACCTTACATGGAAATAAATGAAACTTCTCTCTTTCACAGGGAAGTGTCTGTTTATGTCAGGGCTGAGTGAGGTCCAACTGAATCATATGGATGACCATACTTTACCAGGGAAGTATGGTATTGGATTTACCAATATGGTGGAAAGGACAACACCAGGCAGCAAGGATCTTTCCAGGTAATTACATAACATTTATTTTTGAAAGTTGGAACCTTGGCCATGCTGGTTCCTCAGATACTCTAGGAACTATCATATGCATTTAGTTGAAGCTAAGTTCAACAGATAGGTGATTTGATCTCTCTTTGAAAATTGCCTGAACTTAGCATATTACAAACATTGTTGTATTTATATTTTGATGACTTTTTAATTCAATTTTAGTAAAGAATTTCGTGAAGGAGGACGTATTCTAGTGCAGAAATTACAGAAATATCAGCCACGAATAGCCGTGTTTAATGGAAAATGTAAGATTTACTTTTAAATTTGAGCTTTTTGCTTTGCTGACATTATGGGCAACCTAAATATGTTTGTATTTCATTTTAGGTATTTATGAAATTTTTAGTAAAGAAGTTTTTGGAGTAAAGGTTAAGAACTTAGAATTTGGACTTCAACCCCATAAGATCCCAGACACAGAAACTGTAAGTCTTTAGAAATGCATTTGTAAATCAGCTAATTGTGGTTTTCTTTTTCTAACTATTTTTCCTTTTTCCTATCCGTTGTAATTTATGCTATAAAAAACCCACACTATTTTCTTGAGCAATATGTATATCAACTTGAACTAATATTTATAGATTAATTCAGGTATTGTTATAGTTTTATTAGAAACAGAAACATTTGTTGGCCAAATGGCTTAATGGTGTTATATTAATTGGCTAAAATATTGAGAAGTGTTGACTCATATACTATTCAAAACATTTAATGGCATCTACTTGTCAAATTCAAGCTCTTACTTGGTTGTGAAACAAACATGTAAATATAGGCATGATCTTGATTAGTAAAACTGCCAATTGCCCTCTATTTATCCCATCCTAACTCCATTTTAAAGTCATGCAAATAGTACTCTTCAGTTGCAGGCATCCAGCCAACCTGACTGGCATTTGGTCTATTGTTTATACATAAAGGCAGCATGAAATAACACAGTGATTTTCAAACTTTCACTTTCTGCAGAGTTTCTGCAGACATTTGCTTCAAATTTTGCTTCTTAAATAGTTTAAATTTGGTTTAAAACTTAAAAATCACACATGTACAGACCTATGTGTCGTGTGCTGCCAGATTTTAGGGGAGACCTCAGAATAAAGTTTCTTCTACCTACATACATTTGCAGTCTCCTTTTAAAATTTCTTCTGTTCTTCTTACAAATATGTGATTGGTAAAGTAGGTTTTGGACTGGGCTTTCTTTGAATGAAGTTGTACAAGTGAGTTCACTACTTTCTGTAGCGTATTTCAGACTTGTCCATTAAATGCCACACAAGGCTCAGGTACATCTCTTGGATCTGTGATTACAGTAGTGCAGTAATCAGTAAACTTGAATCATGTCGTGATGGTTAATTTTACCTCTTACAATAAGCTGTGGGTGCATTTATCTCTTTAAATTTATTCCTTATGGATTATAAGCAGTTAATAGATCGCGTTAATGATTGAGTTTTGAAACAAAAAAATCCTGCTTATTAAAGTTTCTAGTCACTTGAAGAATATTTTGAGATTGAGAAATATGCTATTATAAAACCGGGTACCATTTGCACCTACGTTATCTTTATGAATCAGGATTTGCTAACTATTGCATAGCCAAAACTAAATATTTTTTTCTGTATACATGATATGGAGGCTAATTTTCAAATTACAGCTAATGTCCATAATTCAGCAGCCTCATTCTCATGTATTGTTGGTGGAGATATAAATTAGTACAGGTTCTATGAAGGGCAGTTTGTCATGATCAACCAAAATGATAAATGCCAATGTCTTTCTCCCTAGCCATTTCACTTCTAGGAATTTATCCAACAAATATACTCACACATACTTAAAATTAAATAATTTACAGTAGCAAAAGATTGGAAACAACCTAAATATCCACAGTTGGGCTCTGGTTAAATTATTAAACTAGTACACGGCTCTAAAATAGATAGCTCTTTTTTAATTTTGATAGAGATATCTGATATAGAATCATCTCTGAGATACACTGTTGAGTGAAATAAGCAAGGTGCAAAACAGGGAATAGTGCATGTTAACTATCCGCATGTTCTTTAAAAGGGAAGCGAGAATACATATCAAGACACATTTGATTGTACCTTGATTGCTTTTGGGAAAGGGAACTAGGTGGCTAGGGATAGGGTTGGGAGGGAAGACTTTTCATTGTATGCCCAGTATACCCCTTTGTACCTTTTAAATTGTGAGCCATGTATTTGTTATTAAAAAGAAAATACTCGTAGTTGATAGATGAACACCGGGGGTGGGGGGAGCCTCATTGTTTTGATTTATTTACTTTGTAATAAGTATTACAAGTTTGACCTTAAGCACTACTACTCTTACTGATTTTATATATGTTGATGTGATAAGTAACAATTAACCCAACTAAAGATAAATTTTCTAATCTCAATAATGAGTGGATTCGGAAGAATTGTCAGATTCCTGTAACTCTAAAATTTTATGATTCTAGCTGTGCTATGTTATGCCGTCATCCAGTGCAAGATGTGCTCAGTTTCCTCGAGCCCAAGACAAAGTTCATTATTACATTAAACTGAAGGACTTAAGAGATCAGTTGAAAGGCATTGAACGAAACACAGACGTCCAGGAGGTGCAGTATACGTTTGACTTACAGCTTGCCCAAGGTATGTTACCATTATCATCCCTTCAATTCATTTTATGTATATGTACATCACCAAAAGTATGTTGGGGATTTAAAAGCCAGGAGAAAGGAAAAAAATTATTACATCTGTAGCCAGAATGCTTTGATAATGGATATTATAATCTCCTTTTACCAATGTCTTCCATCTACTCTGGACACTCTGGCAGACACTGAGGATCTAAGAGACATTGCAGCCCACCTAAAATGAAATGTCATGGGTTTTCATGACTTGTGTGAGATAATTTAGCATGTGTCACAAAGAGTTTGAAAGATTACAGCCAAAGATGTATTCCATCTGTTTTACTTAAGAGGCATACATTTGATATGTTTACATGAGTATTCAAAAAAAAAAAGTTATCATGATTTCTGAGTAAAGCTGTTTTCAAAACTAGAGTACAAAATCAGTTTTAAATTCTCTTTACTCTCCTTACAGAGGATGCCAGGAAGATGGCTGTTAAGGAAGAAAAATATGATCCGGGTTATGAAGCAGCTTATGGTGGTGCTTATGGTGCGAATCCGTGCAATGGTGAACTCTGCAGCTTCTCTTCAAATGGGCTGAGTATGTCCCCACCCTGTGTTTGTGCCTTTCAAATACTTAATTTTATCAGGATTGGGGGAAAAATTATCAACATAAATTATTGAACAATGGGAATGGTAATATAAAACTCTAGAGATTGATGATGAAAATTTGATGGTTATTTGAATGTTTAGTTACACAAACTTTTACAGCTCATTTTCTTTAAATCACTGACTCTAAGTCATCCTAGTTGTGTTTTCCTTTTGGAATAACAGATGAGGATTTGTAAGTCCTACATCTGAAAATAGAAGACAAACTTCTAATTCCATTCAAGAAGCTTGCTTAACTATTTTAATAGCAATTCTCCTTCAGTGGACTGTTAAAATCTTCGAATTTGCTAATTTGAAATGTTTAAACAGAATAAACTAACACTCTTCTTCTTGACTCCTCCCAGCAGCTGACAGTGCAGAATTACAGGGAGAATCAACTTTCAGTGACATTCCAAATGGGCAATGGATGACCCATTTGTTTACAGACCAGATTCCTTCCTTTAATAATCACTGTGGGATGCAAGCACAGGAAGAAGGAAACCGTGCTTAAGAATGGTGCTTCTCTACTCTGCTTAAATGCTGCAGTTTTAATGCAGTGGTCAAGAAGTGAACCTCAGTTTGCGAACTGAAGTATTTTATTAGTATTCTACTCTAGTGGTATAATCATAGTGCAGAACAGTTGTGTCATAGAATCAGCTGTATGAACTAGGTAGCTTGGAAGGAAGAAGTAGGGGTTTTTTTGTATATGAGTTTTTATATGTGACTTCATCATCATTCCAGTTTTTTATAAACTATATTTCATTTATGAAGAAATTGATTTTCTTTTGCAAGTCACTTTTAATCTGTAATATTTAAATGCAACAATTTGAATATTTATAGTTGATTTTTAACTTACTGTGCATAGACCTAGATACACCATTATCCCCTTTATGCCTAAGAAAAGCATGCTAATAATACGAATTATCACTGGTAAAGAGGCATATGTGTTGGCTTTCATATAGGAAGCTAACCCTCAGTGGAGTCTTGTTTGGTGGTTTTTAGAGGTGTTGGATAGCTCCCTGAGTTAAATTCACACTCGGACCTCTTTGCTTTACCAGTGGTGAGCATTTGTGAGAGATGCTTAGTAGTAGAAATGTGGAGTATGGACTTGCAGCAGCAGAGCTAAACCAGCCTTACCTGGCAGGGCATTGAGCCTTGGCTTTGGCCTCCACCTGTCTGTTAATCCTCTAGTAGACAAACTATTCTGCTGGGATGGTAAGTTCCAGAGAATATTGTAGACCTTTTAAATTTTGTCCCTTGATCTGTGTTTTACTTGAGAACCTGAATTTGATAGAGAAGAAACTGAACTTCTCTCTCAACATCTGTCACTGATTCTGATATTGCCCTCCTTGGTTTTGTGGCTGTGACATGGGAAGTGGTAAGAAACGAACTTTCAGGCTGAAAAGAAGATGCTGGAGGTGTTTGATAATCTCATTTAAACTGGTGCTTTATGTATGTGAAATGTACATAAAATACATAATACAGAATTTTTATTGCTAGATAAATCTAATAAGCCAGTAATTTAAAGAATCCTCTCTTTCCATCATTGCTGTTTGTTACTGTGGAGTGGGTGAACCTCATGGAAGGGTTAGTTTGAGTTATGTACCTTTGTGATTTTCTAGTGCATTTTTCCTTGGTGCTACAAACAGTCCACAACTACTAGGTCTGGTGGATATTAAAACTCTGTATTCAGATGCCATTTGCATTCACTGCTGATCAACCTGAATATTCTGATTTCAGACATACCCAGGGAGCATGCTGTTTTTTTAGTATGAAATATTTATAAGGGTCGTCCCCCACCCCCCAGGAAATTATAAGGCCTCGTTCTTCTCTTTATAATAAGAGAAACAGATTCTTGTGAATCTAAATATGTTTTTAGCTGTGGCTGTGATAGAACTTTTTTTTCCTTAAGTCTAGATTAAGCTGTGTAAAAGTCATTCATGTTATTTAAATGATGTACTGCTGTTTACATGGACATTTTGTGCAGGTGCTTTGAAGTGCCTTGCATCAGGGATTAGGAGCAATTGAATTATTTTTTCATGGGACTATGTAAAGCATGTAACTAGGTCTTGCTTTGGTATATAACTATTATAGCTTTACAGTAGATTTTTTTTTATTCGAGTGGAGAAAATACCCTTTAAATTATGACAGGCACTCACTAGAGAATGGGTTTGAAGGTTTTCCAAGCGTACAATAATGGTGGTGTTTTTCATTAAATGATACAGATGAGTAGTAAATGTTGACTTTCCATGTACATGACCATATGAGACTTTTCCATTAAATAATATTGAAAAGGTTTTTAAATTCATTTGAAAGTCTGATGGTTTTTACAATAAAGGATATTATAAGTAGTTATCCTTAAGTTGCTGGCTTTTTCTTTTCCCTTTAAGCCTGAGATCAGTTTACTTTCTGTTGTTAACATGTATAATAATATATGTAATGAAAATATGAAAATAAGATGTATAGGTATTTGATTTTTTTCAGACATTCATGTTTTAAACATAACAGTTCCATACAATATTGGCACCTGCTTAAAAAAATACTTGCGTGTAAAAATACATTTAGAAATATTTCATTAGAAATTTAAAAAATTTGTGAATATAATTGCCATTCAGGGTTAAGCAAACTGATTGCTGATAGCTAGATGGGATTATTTCTGTCCAACAGTATATTTCACTTAACACAATTTTGATTTCCATAAGTACCACTTTTACTTACGGAAATAAATCAGTGCTTACGTGGTCCGAGGTACAGTTTGTACACAGTAGTTTTTTGTTTTCTAGTATGCATCATATATATCAAAGTACTGTTCATAAAGAACAGTGTCATAGTAGGCACAAATAGATAATTCCACCTTCTTATATAGGAAACATTTAAAATGTAGTGTTATATCAGCACTGCTCCCAAATAAGTTCTATCAGTTTATCCTCCTACCAAGAGTTTTTAGGGGTTTTTGTTCTCTGCAGTTTATCTCCTTAATATGTTAACTTTTTTTTTTTCTAAAGGGTCTTGTTTTCACAATTTGTACACAGTTTTTTTTTTGTTTTCTAGTACGGATCATATATATCAAAGTACTATTCATAAAGAACAGCATTATAGTAGGCACAAATGGTCAATTCCATATTTTTATATAGGAAGTATTTAAAATGTAGAGTTACATCAGCTATTGTGGTGATGGAGTTTAAATATCCCTGCAGGGTCAGGAACAAACCAGCTTTCCCATAAGTCATTGTGAACACTCGGGAAGTCCCAAGGTTTATGTCTTCCATTCCAGTGGAGTAATTTAGCTTCCTGCAGAAAATGCTCTGAATATCTGGCATCTGGATTCCAGCCTTCAAATATGTTCAGAGGAAAATAATAGACTTGTTAGAAGAAAATAAATTTTATATTAAAAATTGAATATAAGTTCATGGTAAAAAAAAAAAAAATCAAACACATCAAAAAGGATATACATTGAAAAATTTTCCTCTCACCCCAAATCTCCAAAGCAACCACTGCTAAACAGTTTTTCATGAATCCTTCCATTAACGTTCAACCTGTGTGTGTGTGTGTGTGTGTGTGTGAGAGTATACATAAACATATATTTTTTTTAAGAGAAGACAAAATAGCATACCACGCAGTATTTCTGCTACCTTGCCTTTTTAAATTACTGTCTTAGAACTTTCCATAGTAGCACATGTGGATTTACTGAATTATTTTTAATGACTACACAGATATATGACTATATACTTACTATGGACATTTTGGTTTTTGCCCCTTCATAAACGTAGACTACAATGAACAGTCTTCTGTATATGTCTTGTGAATGTGTGCAAATGTATCTATAGGATTAAACCTTATAGGTGGAATTGCTGGATTGAAGGGTGTGTGCCTTTTGTGATATTGTCAAATTGTCCCCAAAGAAGTTCTGTCAGTTTATCCTCCTACCAAGAGTTGATAGATGTTCTTGTTTCTCTACACTTTATATCCTTAATATTGTAATGATTTCTTCTAAAGGGTCTTGTTTTCATAGTATGAAATGTGACTAAGAATAAGATCTACTTTTTTAACAGCTATCCTCATTTGAATATTACTCTTCTCACAAGTAATCTCCTTAAGAAAGTATGCGTTTACCCTAATTATTGACATTGCTCAGAATATTTTTAGAATACTCTCCTAGAATTTTATTAAGATCTTGTGAATATAATTTTTTTTCTACTTTCCTCTATGGTGTTAAAATTTCCTTCCTTGAAAGGAAATATATATTTTTTAAACAACTGAAAGTCCATTGAGTAAAGATGGAGTGATTAGTCAGGGTTGTTATTCTGGTTTAACATATGATATTAAAAAAAACTCACACAAAAAAACTGGCTTATATGGTTCATAAACTATCTGTGAAGGCAGGAACTAGGTATTTCAAGCTTTAGTAGCATAACTGGAATAATTAACTTTCTAAGACTGCATAAGGAAATGCCTATTTGGAAAGAGGCAACTTCACATGAAAAGTCTCTACTAAGCAGGCCATCTTCATCTCTCAGCTTCATGACTGAAGGGCTCTGTAGTACTACCTCAGAGGGCCTTGAAATTTTGGTAATAAAATTGCTTTAAGCTAAATGTGTCTCATAAATTTTTAAAATCTTAAGCCTACCTTTCTAGACCCAAACTTAACCAGTTAAACCAAACCTGTAGCCGTCAAATTGATTCTGACTCATCTAGTGACCCTATAGGACAGAGCAGAACTGCCCCATAGGGTTTCCAAGGCTGTAATCTTTATGGAAGCAGACTGCCACATCTTTCTCCCACAGAGCGGTTCAAACCGCAGACCTTTTGGTTGGCAGCCAGTGGTCAACCATTACGCCACCAGGGGCCCTTAGACTTAACATCCCTTAATGTTGAGTTGCTTTCTGCTCCAAAACACTCTCCAAACCAAAACCAAACCCGTTGCCATCAAGTTGACTCCGACTCATAGTGACCCTGTAGGACAGAGTAGAACTGCCTCATAGGGTTTCCAAAGGGCATCTGTTGGATTCGAACTGCTGACCTTTTGGTTAGCAGCTGAGCTCTTAACCACTGCAGAACACTCTAGTGGATTGTTTTTCAAATGATTTCTGTAGAGATTTACTTTGCAGAACCATTCCTGATTCCAAAACCTTCAGCACAAATGTAGGCTGTTCTACAAAGAAAAATGACTTCTTTCCTTGGGAATATTCTGCCCCTTTTTACCTGTCAATAAGTTAGATGTTTCATAAAGTATAATTCTGAGTTTCTGTTCCAAGATCATAAAATGCTCTAACCCTGTTGATCCAAGGTCTGTGTAGCTGTTTCTACACAACATTTGTTATAGACATTCTGCTTTGATGGGATTTTTCTGTACATTTGTCAGATAGTAATGGTGGTATTTGATCTAACAGTGACTCAATATTATTACAAATCGAATCAGATGGACACTGGTGCCCTTAACTTCCCTGGGTCACTCTTCTGTGCACACACTCAGGAAAATGGTATAGAAGTCACATGGGATCATTAAGAGGAGATAGGGAGCCCAGCCTCCACAGTTTAGTACATCCTTTGTTTTAAGGACGGTAAAGGATATATTGGGATCCCTGGGTGATGCAAACAGTTAAGTGTTCAACTACTAGCCAAAAGGTTCGCAGTTGGTAACCACCCAGCGGCACCTTGGAAGACAGGCCCAACGATCTGCTTCTCAAGGGTCATAGCCATGAAAACCCTCTGGAGCACAGTTCTACTCTGTACACGTGGGGTTGCCATGAGTCAGAATCAACTCGACAGTGACTAATGACAAGAAGACATACTACTTGTTCTTGCAGGAGTGTGAGAATTAGAAATAATATTCCTCTTTATTATCAGAACCTAGCCCGTTCTCAGCAATGTACTGGGCACTTGGTAAACACAAGTCGTAGAATTTGCCTCCAATTCTAAAATAGTCCTCAAAACTCTGGAAACAAGGTTTTTTAATAACTCCTTTGAGAGTGAAATCTGGACTTGAATTACAGGATATTTATGGTCTTTATCAAACATTTTGCTGCAAAAATTAATTACGAGCTAATAGCTCAGACCCCACTGAGGGTATTGCATAACAAAATACATGCACATTACCTTTTTCAAATCAACATTTCTAAATGGGTCTGGCCCAGTGGTTTTCGATGAGGGTTTGTGGCTGGTTTTGGGTGAATTTGAGTGTATATTCTGTGCCAGACTCTGTTCTAAGCAATTTACATGTATTAGGTAATTTATTCCTTATGAAAACTGCATAAGGTTCTATTAGCTTATGTTTACAAATTAGGAAACTAGGTATAGAGAGCCTGAGTAACTTGCCCGAGAGCATAGGTAACAGCAGAGTTGGGATTCCAATCCATACCCTAGAGCCTGTACTCCTGTAGTGAATCAATGACTGTTAAGGGGCTCATATCGAGTATACAGCCCACAAAAAACTGCCTTTAAAAAGATAAATTTTAATACCAGCTATCTAAATTCATCATAAACCATTATGCTACCTCATTTGGTTTTGTGCCGCTGTAGGCTACTGCAAGAAGTAAAGGCAAGAAAAAAAGTTTCACAGTGAGAGTTCTATCATAACAATAGCTAATGCTTACTGAGTACATACCATATACTAGGCATTAGTGTAATTGCTTTGCATGAATTCCCAGAAATAAGCCCTTCGGGTAGGCACTATTACCATCCCCATTTGAAGAATCTGGACACTGAGGGGTTAAATAACTCGTCCAAGTTCACCAGGTGGATTTGAATGAGGAACCTGGTACTATAGCACTCTCTCCTCACCCTGGTCACTGGGTCTATAAAATGTACATTTGCATTGTTTTTTTCTAAAATACTTACCCAGGTGCCTTATGTGCCACAGGGGGTTGATTGCGGAGTATTTCCCGTGAAACACAATCAGCATTGGGGAGGTGGCCACCCCTCCACCCAGGGAGCTGCTGTAGAGGTTTTCCCTAAGAAATGAAATAGAAAAGTGACATGGCAGGGAGCTTCCACAATCTCAAATAAAACAGGGTCTAATACTTGAAAAAGATGTGAGACATTCTTTCACTGTATTTATTTCTCCAACTTTATTGTGAAAAATGTCAAACCTACACAAAGTTGGAAGAATAACACCGTGAACTCCTGTATACTCACTAAGATTTGCAGTTAACATTTTGCCATTTTAAAACTCGAGTTTTTTTTTTTTATGACAGATGCAGAAGATCAAATTCTGATCCTACATTATTAATACGTTAGAATAATTTCACCCATGTGTTTCATGTTATGATAGTATTAAAGAATCCAGATGAAAAAAGACTAACAGGAAATACAATGACATGATAATAGTGACTGTGTTAGGGTTCTTTTTATTTTCTCGATTTTAAAACTTCTATGGAAACTCTATGGGGCAGTTCTACTCTGTCCGATGGCGTTGCTATGAGTCAGAATCGACTCTACGGCAGTGGGTTTGGT